TGTGTGATATTTCTACTACGAGTTATTAATACATAGTACCAGGTTGACCAAGTTTTGCTCGGAGTGCATATACTTCTTAAAGTTTTCATGGTTTGAGTATCAAATACTGGTCATTTGGATAGATTTAAAAGTGGTATTTTGGAATAGATTAAAAAAAATTGAGCTTTTGATGACCTAAATATAAAGTAAGTAAATTTCTTACTTCAAAAAAGGGGTGGCAACCCTATATAGGGAATACGCAAGGATGAATAGTAAACATCTTGAGCGTACCTATACTCTGTACTCTGCATACAAACAAAAAATAAATCTTATTGAAATTTACAAAATACTTGTATTATAAAAAGACGTGGCCACCCTCATGGAAAATATTTTCTTACTAAAGTTCTCAAAAATATCTTTATGTCCATATTGGGAAGTTTTAGCTATTTTTTGTAGAATAGAAAGTAAGTGGCAACCTTACACTAATATCCAAAGGCATAACACTCATTATATAGGCAAAGCATTGTTTAGGAGCCTTATTTTAGTATGCATGACTAGTAATATTGTGCTTTTATTCTCTAAACAAAAAACATATGCGATTCCAAACAGGCGGAAACCTTATTCAAAAAATATTTCTGAATTGGGGATTTTTAAAATACTTTCCATTTGATACCCAGATTATGATGTTTTATTTAATTTGTAACTGATTTCGAATAGGTGGCTACCTTATTCGAGTATTATCGGAAATAATACTTATTTAGATAACCTTAGAACGAAAAAAATTATCTGTATACAAAATTTCATCAAAATCTTCGAGCCGTTTCCTTGCTATTCGCAAACCTTGCTTCTCTCGGTGAGTTAAGCTCATCGGAACAAATTGAAGAAGCCGTAGATTGAATCACCAATGCCTGTAATATGGCCTTCTCTGCGTCCTGTCCAATTGTACTTCCAAGAGGAGAGAGAAAGCCACACTGGTGGACCAAAAAAATCGCCTCTTTAAGGAAGGAAAGCAGGAAAGTCTTCAACGCGGCAAAGCGTAAGGGTTCTTGGTCTGCTTACAAAGCAGCCTTGAAGAAATTTAAGAATGCCCAAAGGGACTCCTGGAAGGATTATTGTGATAGCATAGAGGAACAATAGAAGGGTAATCGCTTGCGAAAAGTGCTTGCTAAAAATCCGACAAACCCAATGTACATTCAGAAGGCGAATGGCGACTGGACATCATCCCAAGAGGAGATGCTTGAGGTTCTAATGAGCGCACACTTTCCAGGGTGTACTGAGGGGCCTGGCGTTGCTCGCACAACTTCTGGACGCTCCTTAGAATACATAGATTTTATTGATGTAGAAAGGGTAGATTGGGCCATAAGGTCCTTCCAGCCCTACAAATCTCCAGGCATGGACGGCATCTTCCCTGCCGAACTTCGGGCAACGTCTGACATTCTATATCCGATGCTTGTCTCAGTCTATAAGGCTTGTCTCAGACTTAGGTTCATAAAGACAATAAATTGATTTAAGTAAATTATCTAGCTGTCATCATGCCTATTGGAACGGCAGGTCTGTAGATACAGCTTTGCATAGTATTGTCAGCACCATTGAAAAGGCAACGGCGCTTAAGGAATATGCATTAGGCGCATTCCTTGATATCGAGGGCGCCTTCAATAATGTTCTCCCAGAAGCTGTTTTCCGCGCCCTAACTAACATCGGTCTGGAGTACCCTCTTGTAGAATTTGTTCGTCGCCATCTAGGCAGCAGAACCGCGGCACCCCGCAAGGCGGTGTCCTCTTCCCACTCCTGTGGAATCTAACGGTGAATACTCTGCTGTCGCAGCTACAGAGCACAGGCTGTCAGGTAGTTGCTTACGCTGATGATCTGGCCCTGACGGCGGTAGGTAAGAACCCCCAAGTTCTGTGCGACCTGGTCCAAGGCGCCTTACGCATTGGAGACACCCGGCCCAAGGAATATGGCCTTGGTCTCAATCCCGGGAAAACAATCATGGTTCTTTTCACAAAGAAAATTAAAACCGTCCAGATGCAACTTCCTTCCTTGAACGGTGTTACGCTGGCCCACCCGGAGGAAGTTAGGTACCTGGGCGTTGTATTTGACAGAAAGCTAACTTGGCGGCGCAATGGTGAAGAGCGTTGCAAGAAGGCTATAACTGCCCTGTATGCCTGTAAATCAGCAATAGGAAAAAAGTGGGGTTTGAAGCCCCACATTGTGAACTGGATGTACACAGTAGTGGTGCGTCCCATTATTTTCTGTGGAATAACGGTCTGGTGGCCATCCGTGGACAAACTTCACAAACAAACAATCAAAAGCGGACTAACAAAGGTTCAAATGGTGGCGTGCATGATGATCACGGGGGCGTTGCCCTCAACGCCGACTAAAGCCCTAGAGACCTTGTTCCATTTTCTACCTGTGGACCTATATGGCAAACTGCAGGCAAGTTGTAATGCTGTTAGATTAAACAACAAGATACAAGATACAAGATTTGGAAACTCTAGAATTTTGGATGATCTTCCGGGAAACTTCAGGCGCTTTGGCTACACAGTCCCGCCTACTGGACTAAAGAATCATTTCCAAACAAGCATCCCCTCTAGGGGCGAGTGGGAGGAGGATTAAATCCTGATCTCTTGCTCTGACTCAGCAGCCATCTACACCGATGGCTCCAAGCTAGACCTGAAGGTAGGAAGTGGGATATATCCGCAAGAACTCTCACTTAGCCTCAGTTTTCGTCTGGCAGATTACTGTAGCGTTTTTCAGGCTGAACTAACAGCAATCTACGAAGCTGCTAGATGGCTGATCGATTCTCCTACTAATCTACATGCAGTAGCTATTTTTTCTGATAGCCATGCAGCCATCAAAGCACTTAATTGGGACAAATCTACATCGAAGATTGTCATGGAATGTAGACGTACTCTAAATGAGCTGGCAAGGAGTTACTTTACTCAAGTTGTATGGGTACCAGGTCATAGGGACATACTGGGCAACTGTGTTGCGGACGAGCTGGCTCGGAAAGGAACCCTACTGCCCGCGATCAGTACCGCTCGTAATGCGGGTATTCCGCTATCATCCTGTAAACTCTGGCTGCAGAATATCTTTATCGAACGGGCAAATGTAAGATGGTCCGCGGAGCTCACGTGCAGGATGGCGAGACACATCTGGCCTAGGTTAGATAAGCGTAGATCTCGCCCTCTCTTCAATTTCTGAGGTAGGAGGAGGGACGCTAGGGGTCTCAAATATGGTATCACAATGTGCCCATGGAGGCCTAAGTGTGCCCTTTTGCCGTACGGATGAGGGCAGCCAGGATAACCTAACCTAACCTAGAGCCGTTTTCGAGAAACCTATGGATATATATATATATATATACAAGAATTGCTCGTTTAATGTAATAAGATGTACATATGTAAATGCTTCCGAGACTGTATGGCACTTATGAATACAAGAAACCAGCCTTTAATCCTCTCGTAAACGGATTTAATACTCGTAAAAAGCCTTTTCATGAAAGTAAGGTGTAATTTTTACAAGAAATTTGTTTCTTATTTTTCATGTTTCATGTTGTCTGGCATTGCATTCAGAAAAAAAATAATGTTACTAATATGTAAAGAACTCTTTTACTGTACTTTAAATACACTTGCCATAATTTTACGAAAGCTCCCAATTCCCTAAAAAGTGAAATTTAACTGCTTTTTACAATAAACCAAAACTAAAAAATAACATTCTAATTATAAACAAGCATTGAATCGAAAAGGCATTTCTTTATTTCCACTATTAAAAGTACTTGAAATTTTGTCGTATCGTAAACCATAACCAAATCTGTTTTATGACTTCATCATTTAAACGGCTATAATCGAGCATTTTAAAAGTTATAGGACCAAGATTGAACTGGTACCGAAGGGATATTAGCAGGTGCGTGTGCTGCTGCTGGGGAGGAGTGAGCTGAGGAAGCATGGGCTGATGACTGGTGTTGATGAGCGGGATGTGGTTGTGCAGATGGGTGTACACTTGAGTGATGAACGGATGATGAGTGAGCACTTGGAATGTGAACTACCGATGAGTGCGCTTCCGATGGCGAGTGAACTGCGGAGGATGAGTGGATTCCTGCTTGCGAGTGCATTCCTGGCGAAGAATCAACACTAGATGAAGGCGATGAGACTCCCGATTGGTGATGAGGATGTACCACAGATGGGGAGTGAATTGCGGATGATGAATGGATTCCGGCTTGGGAGTGAACACCCGATGAGCTCTGAATACCAGATAAAGAGTGCACAGCGGATGACGATGGGACTCCGTGCATCGATGATGACGAATGAGCGCCGGATGAGGGAATATTCGCGTAGTTATAAACGCCTGATGAGTGCAATGCTTGACTTGGAACTGATGGATATACTCCGCTTGGATGCACTACTGTTGAGTGGTGAACTCCAGATGTTGAATGCATTCCCGACGATGTGTGAACACCCGATGACTGCGATCCCGAAGAATGTTGGCCGCCAACTGAGGAATGTACTCCCGAAGGATGATGAACGGATGGGTGTACAACAAGTGATAGGTGGCCTTGCGATGGTTGCCCGACGCTTGAGTGATGTGCCGAGCCCTGAGAAGCTGATGATGGGTACAGTTGAATGAATGGATTAC